GTGGGTGTGGGTGGGTGTGGGTGGGTGTGGGTGTGGGTGTGGGTGTGGGTGGTGTGGGTGTGGATGTGAGTGTGGGTGTGGGTGGGTGTGGGAGTCATTGAAAAGAAGATCCACACCCACATCCACCCACATCCCACAAGCACACCCACACCCACACTCACACCCACACCCACACCCACACCGACACCCACCCACACCCGCAGAAATCATTATCGCTTCAGTTTATAAATGAGAAGTCTGCAAATCAACATCTTTTCGATTAGATATAATGATTAAAGTTACAATTTGATAATTAGTTTAATAATTAACAGAGAAACTCCTACCGTCTCCGAGGCATCACTCGTTGCAAGGAGTCTTCTGTTATGCAGTAATCTTGAGTGATAATAAAAGGGATTTAGATTACAATTGTTTGAAATAAGATAATTTTTTTTATAAATATTAAATAGTTTTGGTTTTTTTAAGTAGAATTCAAAAAGTTTCTTTTCAGTTCGATTCATCTTTAAATAACTTAGGTTTCGTTCGGTTTTAGAATTTTTAAAAAAATGTCGGTTTCGGTTTTGTTTAAATTTTGAACTATTTGAACCCGGTCAATATCTGATTTCAACACTTCTTTTAGATTGTGTATTACAAAAATGCTAAAATAAATATTCAATCAAAGTTGAATGAGAAAAATCTTTTTTGTTTATTATTGAATAGTGAGAGAGAGAAAATAATTAAAGTTTTATATTTATTAAATATAATATATAGAAGATCAAAACCAAAGACGACATCTTGTTATTTGAATCTCAACTCGACTATTAGGAAAGCGTCTTTGAATCATAGAACGATAAGGTTCAATTTTTTGATGATCAATTTGACCATAAATATCAAGGAAGGTAAATTGTTTTAATTTTTGAATTAATTGAGAAAGATCATATTCAAATAGGGTAACATGTTCAACTAAAAAAAAACGTTTTATTATTTATTTATTTTAAGTCTAACTGATTTCCATACCAATTGATTGAGATGTTGTTAAAGATCTTATCCATTTATCAATCAAAACTTGACCACGATATCCTGCTCGAAATTCTGGTCGAACTTGAATAAAGAAAAACAAAAATTTACATAAATTTATGTGATCAACCAATGTCTCAATTAAAAATATTTCTTTCTTATTCAAATATTGAGCTATTATCGTATATCTTGTGAGATTTTCGTTAACGTAGCTTCTTTCTCAAATATGACAACTTTTGATCATTTTCTTAAGCTAATCATTTTGCTGTCGAATGTTTGACTATCTGTACACAAAAAAAGATATAGGAGTATCCATTTCAGTACAACACTTGGTATAAAATGTCTGGTCTCACATCACATTTTTGATCATTTATATCTATACGATAGTAATATCCATCACGCTCAACAAGTAACTCTTTCGCACCACGATTAACTATGAAAAAGGTTGCCGCTACTACGATTATACTCAAAAAACGTTTCGAGTTCTACTAGTGTGACTGTATGGAACTATGTACAACTGTTGTTACTAATGTATTAGATTAAAACAGTATCAGTGACCAATTTAGAGAAACTAAAATTCTACGCAAATTCATATAGTTTTTCAAAATTCTCCAAAAAAAGCTGCCACCAACGCATCGCAATAGAAGTCTCTCCTATCAGAGTTAGAAATATAAGTTGAAAAAAAACAATTTATGTGAGTATTATTGAAAATGATGCGTCACATCTAGATGAAGAAGACTTTGATTCTTATCATTTTCTCTACCCGACATCTTAATTTCATCTATAGTTAATAATAAAAAGTTGTCTAAATTATTGTTATTTTTATGTATTCGAAATAGAGATATAAAAGGAATTTTACCAGTAGAGAAATACATAGAATATTCTTATTCATGTTGTCCTATATAGCAGTTATTATTAAAGAAAATACGACTTAATTTAATTGTAACGAATTTTTTTTATTCAAAAATTGACTTACTTGATGTCCAAGGAAAATCGTCTGGTCGCCAAAGACGTAATGTTTGCAAATATGGAATATAATTACCAAGAAATGATACAAGATTTTTTCCAATACGAATCGATTCATTTGAACCTCTATGACAGTTGGGAAGACAAAATTCAGCATATCGAATTGTACTCAATGCATTTTTTCTAAGTTGATCAGATGTCTAAAAATAACCAAATAGAGAAATAATTCAAAGTTATAACAGTTTAATAATGATGCATATACAGAAACAAAGATCGCATGAATTTTTCTTTCTCATGCTTTTCTTTTTTGCTCTTTATTACTTGCAATGATTAGTTTTTTTTTGTTATTATCTTCAGTGATCCATAGGAGATTTCAAGAAGTAGTAAACGACACTTTTTCTGTCATTTCTAGAATCATTTTTCTGGAACTTACATCCATATATTTTAGGAGAAAATAACAAGTACCAGTAAGTTTCAACTCGAATTTCACTCTCTTACAGACCTTTAGCAATCGAATACAACAGCCACTACATTTCTTTCTTATAGTTCTTTAGCAATAGACAAAGATACTCTAAGTCTTGATGCATGATAATACGTTGAGATCTGATGAAGATATAATAAATGTGTACAACAGACATTTTTCTCAGTTAAATTAATGATTAGAACAATAATAATAGAATATTAAGAAAGAGAAAATAGCAACAAGGCAAATAAAAACTAGATCATCAATAACAAATAAGCTTTTAAGTTCGAATTGCGAGAGATCGTTTCTTTCACGATTTATTATTATTGGAAAATAACTGTCATATGTTAGAGTTTCGTTACTTTATATCTCTACTCAGAAAAATGCGTATTAAAAATAAATTGACATAATAGGTATTTACAAAAGCTTTTCTCAAGCTGATCCTTTCTAAATTAATCTAGAGCAGCTTACGAATAGATATTCATCTTTGACTGATGGATGCATTGACAGGCTTAGCTTGCTAAACTTATCCAACTATCCACAATTGGAGCACAATAAATTGTTCAACTTGGAAGACACAGAATAAATGCGTATTCTCTTAATTTTTTATCACTCATGACGATTCTCGAGAACCTAGAAGCAAGCTTACAACTAATATGAGAACTTCTATTCACTAGTATACTTAAGCCGTACAGTTAATAGAATCAAGTTGCCTGTTCTTCTTACAATAAGATGTTCACAGTCGTGGACAATGAGAAATAAAGGATTAATAAATACTTACATATTCAACAATATGTAAAAGCCATTCAAATTGTTCGATTCGAAGATATATCAATTGAATTGGCATTGAAATTATGTAAGCAAGTATTTTTGCTCGTAATATATTTTGATCAATAGAATTCTGATTATATTCTGAAAATATATAATTATTACAATAACAACATTTTGACAAATATATATTTCAATCAATTATTTATAAGAATTAATTTCTTGAGAGATGTCCAAGAACTGAGAAATAGGAATTCTTCCTTAGTTTCCTTACAGTTCGAAGATTGATAAAATCCACAATATTTTTTGCTTTCATGCTCATTTTAATCTAAGAATTTGTGAAGATGAATATGAGCGTAGCCAACCAAAGGATACCCCAATTTCCATTCTTTGGTTAGTCACGTCCATATGTGAGTATGAAAACTATTGCAGCAAAGATATAATTTTGATTGTCATGAATGAGACAAATGGTCAATTCTCATTTCACGAGGAATTATAATAGCGCTGTTGACAGTTTCTCTACAGATTGGGAATTCTTCTTTCTCAGTTCTTGGACAATGCTGAAGGGAGGGAAAAGGCCTTAATTTCAAATTCTCTCAAAACACTGATTTCAACAAAGAACAAATATTTATTTTTTTAATGCCACAACTTCTTGAAAGTCTTTCATCTCTACCGAAGCGAGATAGTAGAACTAGAAAATTAGAAAAACATATTTGCTTATCTAATATTCGTACTTTTTATTATATTTGAACACTAACGTTGGCAAAATCGTTCCTATTAACTCCATTCTTCGTGCATTCCTTGTCCTAAACTGAATTAACTTCTACTAGTATAAGGGGAAATGATTGAATAATTCGAGTGAATCTATATCAAGACGATTGATATAACTATATATATAATTAATTCAGGTGTTTAAAAAATGAAAAGAAACTTCTTGACTTTTCTGTCAAAAGCACTGAAAACATAGAACTGTGTCTAATAAAAAGGACATTAATATTTTAACATTTGAATTTTAATGTCAGTTTGATCATTTGAATTGTCATTTCTTTTATTTCCAAAGTTCACGGGAAGATAATCTCTCGTATCAACTATGCAATCTTATGTATGAGATCGAGATCGATCAGTTTCAGTATCCAATGATATATGTTTGGTAAAATCAATACTAAATTTCTATAGTTATTATTTTATGCTAATAATAAAAGAAATATCTTTTTTTTTCATAAGAAAACAAAATCCATATTTTGTTTTAGTTGTCTATTTAAACAGACTAAGAAATTCGCATAAATGTTCGCAAAACTGGACAAATTAAGTTCACAGAAGTTATTTGATACTAATGATAAAGACAAAACAAACACTTATTTATCGTTTTATCAAATATTACGAAAGAAGAAAAAATGAAAATTTACCAGAATTACGACGAAAGTGAGATCCAAAATCAAGTCTTGTAACATATTGAAGATGAATATCGGTCAGTTTCGATTGTAACACATTCAATGATGATTGTAAAAAGATGGTATATTCAGATTCAGTAACAAATTTTTCTTGTCCTATAAAAAAATGATATTTTCGAATTAATGGATATAATCTAATGGATAAAACAAATCAATATTATTTAACGAGAAAGAACGATTTGACCGATACGAAATTTCTTTTTAATTTAATTTCTTAAAATTTTTATTTGATTATTAAGTTTTACTAAATACCTACCCATATTAAATTGAATACAAAAAGTTATATAAGGAAATATAATATGAAATTGTTTGAGAAATATATCATTGCCAATCAAAAATACTTGGATAATCTGTAGAAAATAAAAATAAATTCTGTTTTATCACAAAACAATCTTCTTACATAATACCATAAAAAACAAATTAGGTTTGATTATTCTAATTGATGATATATGTTGATATGACATTATTGAATCAAAGAAGCATTCTACATTTATCCAATGATACTTAATAAAAAATTTATGATTTTTAAATGAGTTTTCTATTGTTGAAATATCCTCCAATAGTAATGGATATTTGGATATAATATAAAAATTAATATCAATCAAATTTCTCCATGTATCAGGCATTCAATATTGACTAATAAAATTTGCATCAATAAGACAATATCTTTTCATTGAATCTTGTTCCCAACTTAAATTTATATCAAGGTGAAGTTTGAATTTTTCAATAGGATTAATATTATTAAGAATCCATTTTAGATATATAAAGTTAGAATAATCGTGAATTTTACTTTTTAAAATAAAATATTTTAATTTTGGAACCTGCAATTACATAAATAATTAATCTCAAATATATTTATTATTTGTTTTACTATATAAATCATCCAACAGAACCTAACAAACAAGAGACAGCTACTAATGTCCGTTTCAAAATATAATACCCTTCATCATTTTTTGAATAACTCGAGAACGCAAACAGCTAGAGACCTGCGGTTTTCACCAATCGATAGATAAGACAGGAATATGTCTTTTTTTCAGATAATGTGTAAGGAGAAATCCTTTTAAAACTAGTCATCTTCGAAAAACATGTAAAAGAATGCATGAAAATAACCTGCCATCCAGATGAAATTTTGACTTTGACTTTTTGATTTAGATAGAGGAACTTGAGATTTATAGTTCAAGATACAATGCCCTTTTTTATTTTTCCTTACGTTTTCATCGAAATGTCCACCTATTATCATAAAATCCGAAAAACATAGTAAAACATCAGTAAAAGTCCCTATTATTTGTGCATGTAAATACATGGTTCCATTTGGTCAACGTTAGAATGCAATACGAGAAGTATTTGCATTGTATCTTGAACTATAAATTTCAAGTTCCTCTACCTAAAGCAAAAGGTCAAAATCAATATTGCGTCTGGATGGCAGGTCATTTTCATGTGTTTTTCGAAGATGACTAGTTTTAAAAGGATTTCTCCTTACACATTATCTAAGAAAAAGACATCTTCCTGTCTTATCTATTGATTGGTGAAAGCCGCAGGTGTCTAGCTGTTTACGTTCTCGAGTTATTCAAAATATGATGACGGGCATTATATTTTGAAACGGCCATTAGATACGGAGAATCTATTTTTCTTATATTAAAGAATCGTTACAGTATGTTTCATTTATTTTACCTTATCATACCAACTGATAACAGTTGACGTAAACTTTTCAATCTTCATCTGATGTACAAATTCACTAGCCAATGAATCTCTGAATATAACTGAGAGAATTTCAAGATTGGGTACATGCTCAATAATATGTTCAATAAAAGAACCAAAAAAAAGATGAACGTGTAAACGACGAAGAGTCATACATTTAGTAACAAGTTGATTGTCGATTGGATTTGAAATAATGTCAGAAGATGATGAAAGACAATTATGGATTTGAAAAACAGAGTTATCTTTAGAAATATCAAGTTGAAGCGAAGTTAATTGACATTTAGAAGAAAAAAGTTGACGTATAAAGTGATTGCATATTGTTGTAAATTTGCGAACTATATAATTAAAATAAAGAAAAGATATTGATATAATGAATTATTTGATAAAAAGTATTTAAACTTACCTTCTTTAAGATTATTTATCCAAGATTTCTGTGTATAGTAAAACATTTCAAAAGTATCTTTATCAATTTTCAATATTAGTTCATCCAATTGATATTGAACAAGTAAAGATAAATTGTTAATTAATGTTTCCGTTAGATAATATCGACTAAGAATAATTGATTTTAAATTAACAAAACGAATAAGTTTTTCTTGAAAAATCCATTCAGATATAACATCAAAAAAAAACTGACTTTGCCCCATCAACATGAATTCGTTGTATAGAAGCAGAAAGAGTTGAATTAGAAATTATTC